TTCAACTCATTCATGTCACCTAAAAGGTAAACCTGTTTCTCCATCACCTGTTCAGCTCTGATGAGCCAGGAAGGACATCTCCTGGTTTCATCTTCATGTTTCCCTGTCACCAGATAACCAAACCGACATCATGACCAGCAGCTTACAGATGTGGCTCCAGCAAACATCAGCTGAATGTTTGCCAAGTCACTGTTTATTTTGCCACTGCGAAGTATTACCCTTATATAAGTTAAGTAAACCTTGTTAAAACGTTCCTTCCACCTCCACTCTGGGTTACTGCACTTTGGTTCAGTTCGAGTTACCAGCCTCAGGGCCCCTTTGACACATATTGTCTGTTCACAGCAAAAATCTTCCAAAGCATTAAATCTAAAAACAACTCCACACCTTTTATCTGCTTAACTGATAGTGACATGACGAATGAACTGCCCATGAGATAGCCTTTGAGTTAATTGTCAAATTACTTCTTGTCCTTTTAAAAAGAGGTTGGCACATGTTAGGAGCTCAAACTGCTAAACTCTTCATCCAGTTTAAATGTGGACACTCTAAAATGAAAGCTGTCTGTGTCCATTATATCTATAACTGGAGTATGTTTCAATAAACAGGTAAAAGACACAACTTGTGTAGGTGTCCAAATATATGTGTACATAACTGTAAATATTTAAATGTGTCAGTGTCATCTGGTGAAAGCATTTCTTTATTCTTTTTTTCTCTCAGTCAATTATGTATTGCTGTGTTTTTCTGTTTTGCATGCCCTCATTTCCCACCATGATCCACTCCAGATTCATATACAAGGTCTTAAATGATCTTTATTATTATTATTATTGCTTTTAAGTTATGACAATCAGAACGCACAGGACCGGGGGACGAGAAAGGAAAAAAGGAAGGACAAGGAGAGAAGAATAGAGGACAAGAGAAACAGAGAGAAAAGACAGTGATATTTTTTTGATCATGTGCTTGATTAAATAAACCTAACTAATTGTAATATCTATATTGTGTACGTATGAGACTTAACTCTGTGAGGTCTGAGTCATGAGCCTATCCCAAAGTTCTGTAGAGAAGAAAAAAGTCAGTGACTGAAAACTCTGAAATATCCTGAGTGATATCTCAGAGTGACGCTGAAAAACTTGTTCATGCATTTATTACTTTTATTACTACTTCTTCTGTTTATTACTTCTAGGCTAGACTAGTGTAATTCATTATTTTCAGGATGTCGTTTAAACTTCTTGAAAAGCCTTCAGTTAATCCAAAATGCTGTAGCAAGAGTCCTGGCAGGAACTAGAAAGAGAGAGCATATTTCTTACATACTGGCATCTCTTCACTGACTCCCTGTTAAATCCAGAATCAAATTTAAAATCCTGCTCCTCATATACAAGGTCTTAAACAATCAAACCTCATCTTATCTTAAAGACCCCATAATACCGTATCACCCCAACAGAGAACTTTGCTCTGTGGTTCTGTGGAACCAGCTTCTAGTTTTGATTCAAGAGACAGACACTGTCTCTACTTTTAAGATTAGGCTTAAAACTTTCCATTTTGATAAAGCACATACTTAGTGCTCCCTTAGTTATGCTACAATACTACAATAATTCAACAAAATACATTTGGTAAGGAAGGATCTTAAGAAAGCTTTTGATCCTGCCCAACATTCCCTTTTCAAGCCTCCAAATCAGCAGATAACAGGGTGGTTTCACATAAATTAGCACATCTTCCTGCACACTTTTTAAAATAAAAACTGAAACTAGCTCTTATTCACTGTGTACTCCTGCCATCTGCTGGTCACAATTGGGACAAGCTGTCCCACTCGAATCCTGAAGACATTTACAAATAATGACACAGGGCTGCAGGTTATTCCAGCTGTCAGTGGATGAGGAGTAAAGTCCAGTCCACTTCAGTCTATCTCAGAGTCATGACCATTGCACAGGGCAGTATTAACCAAAAACTTCTTTACATTGCCTTTAAGTATAGTATAATGCAGCATGGCAGTGCACTGTTCCCTCACAGCAAAAAGTTTTAAATCCACCATCAGCCAGATACTTAGTTTGCATGTTTTTCCTGTGTCTGCATGGATTCTCTCCGGGTACTCTGGCTTCCTCCCACAGCCCCAGAGTTGGGTCAGGTTAACTGCTAATTCTATAATGCCCATGAGTATGAATGGCTGTCTGAGTGTCTTTGTTAGCTCTGCAAAATCCTGGTGATCTGTCCAGGGTGTACCATACTGGGATAGGTTCTAGTCCCCGCCCCCCATGATGGTGGACTGGGAGAAATGTGTCAGTATTCCCAGAATAAGCAGTTCAGTTAAGGTAGGTGTGTCAAACATATGGCCCAGGTGCCTGAATCGGCCTGGCCCACTTATTTCATTCTGGTCCAGTGTGGAAAATATGAAGGAATCCAAAATTGTTGGACTTTAAACTCTATTTTTCTTAGTTTTACAGCTTTTCCTACTAATAAAACCTGCCCTAAGGTCATTCATACTAAACAAAAATAATTAAGTAAGAGAAGAAGACACAAGTGACCTGTTTTTTTATTCACTACTACAGAATTAAAACTTTTTAAAAAAAATAAAAACCTGTTTTATAATTACAGGACATTCTTTTCTATAGTTTTACACAATTATTTCTTGCATTTTAAGCTCAAAGAGTCTTGCTGACAGATTTCGTTAATTTACTACAGGAGCATTTATTTATTATGTAAAGACTGATTTTGAAATTGCACTTCTTTTTTTTCTAATATTAAGATATCTCCAGGACTAAAAGTGTAGTTAAACTTTTTGTTTGACATCTTTGAGCTATAGGATAACAGTGCAGAGCCCTTTCCCCCTTTCTACGCTTTTATTTTGAAGTCTCCACATTTCCGGTGTCTTCCTGGTACTGGTACTTCCGGGAACCAGCTTATCGCAGCCAGCTTTGGGTTCAGGTTACAGCTCCAGGCTGCTGCCGAGCTGTTTTTATGACAGCCGGGCAGAAGCTCCTCCGGTCACCGTAATAGCGGGCCTCTTTTCCGGCTTGTTGGACCCCAGAGAGGGGAAGAGGAAATGACTTTTCTGGGGAGCTTTTAGAAAGTTTTCCTTCTGCCCTCCTGAAGTGAACCGTTGACTTGTCACCATGAGAAGTCGGAGCAACTCGGGCGTTAAATTGGACAACTATGCCCGGATAGTGCAGCAGACTATCCTGCGGCACCAAGTGAGTGTGAAGCGTTGTTGTTTCACAGCTGTTTAGCGACCGTTAGCTTTAAAATACACACTTAGGCGGTGTCATGTGTGCAGGCAGTGTTAGCTGGTCCGCTGCGAGTTAAACTCAGATGTTTTCATGCATGCAGGAGGTGAGGCAGGGCGATATTTCGCAAGGCTGCAGAGCTCTTTGAGTCACACACACAAGTGTGTGTGTGTGTGTGTGTGTGTGTGTGTGTGTGTAGCTGTGAGTGTAATGGAGGTCTTTGATGCACTGGGGAAGTTTTTGCCATTTTATGTCAACGTCTTCTGAAGAGGCCAAAAGTATGCGGACATGTTAAGTTTTACATCCTCTTGCAGGGGCGGTTTCAGAGTGTTTTAAATGGGGTGGCCCACGGGACATTACAGTGTTTGATTAGAAATAAAGACAAATGTTTAAATTTGTATCAATATTATATAAAAACTCTGGGCGTGATAGTCCAGTCTTAAATGCAAAAGAAACTTTAAGTATTTAATGTAAAAGTACCCATGTAAGTGCTTCATTAAGGCAAATGGGGGTAGAGGGGGTCGATTTCATAACTCCTCCAGTATGCATGTCCAAGTAACCTCCTACAAGGTGCTGAACCCCTAATCAGAGTGAGCATGAATGTTAGACAAGGCCCTTAGATACAGAGAAAAGCACTTGTATGAATGTGTGTGTGATTGAGTCAAAAGTGTTCAGATTGCTCAGTTACAGTAAAGTAGTGCTACACAAGTACCATTTTATTCATCAAAAGCTTACCAACAAGTGTTGTGGTGCAACAAATACTTAAAGTACATTCATGAAGTACTTGAGTGGTCCTAGCCATGCTTTCCATTCAATGGGGGTTGTTAGAGTAATATTTCTCATATGGTTGGTGGCCAGCCATATTTTACAGGGGTAGTGGCACCCCAGCCATTCAACAGTGAACACCCCTGTAATATGGCTGTTTGAATAACTGCTGCTGCAGTCTCTGATGTAACATTTTATAACTGGGCTGCAGGTGTTGCCCATAATTAATCAGAAGGTCGGTAGTTCGATCCCAGGCTGCCTCCTGGCTGCATGCCAAATATCCTTGGGCAAGATACTTCACCCGTTGCCTACTGGTGGTGGTCAGAGGGCCCGGTGGCGCCAGTGTCCGGCAGCCTCGCCTCTGTCAGTGCGCCCCAGGGCAGCTGTGGCTACAGTGTGGCTTGCCATCACCGGTGTGTGAATGTGTGTGTGAATGGGTGAATGTCTGAATGTAGTGTAAAGCGCTTTGGGGTCCTTGGGGACTAAGTAAAGCGCTATACAAATGCAGGCCATTTACCATAATTAGAACGAGTCCTGATTACTGACATTAAGAGACCCCTCTAGCATCCCGCATCGAGGAAACTAGTATTGTTGGTATTATTTTGTTTTATTTTTTTTAAGGTTTTTGTAGTCATAACTGCTTGAGTTTATTTTCTTTTCCCCTCTCTTCAGTCATTCATTTTTATTTACTTTACTTAATTTGATCAACTTATAAGCAGTACATTAAAAATGGGTGGGGCAGTGTATTTTCCCTGTGTCGCATACACTGGGAGAGAGTCGACCTTCAACAGCGGTGTCATATTCACTTTCACTAAAGGTCACCCCGGTCAAGTTCAGACTTGTTGTTTATTAACATGCTTTTAATTTAATGAATGAAGCATGTCTCATTAAGCCGTTTCATGTTCAGTTTGGTCAGTTTATTAGTTTCCTTCACTCATTCAAGCAAAACGATGTTCTCATCATATTTCTATTCAGAGGCTTTAAAACAAACAGCCACCTCAAATTAGCCTGTTTCACAAACCTGAATGTGAGAGCCGCTGGTAGTTTGGGCCATTTAAGGCAACCAAATGAATCCTGACGTTAACGGAAAGTAACAAGCCTTTGTCGCCGTGCACAGGAGTCATACAGCCCGATCTGCTTCCATGAATCTGGCTGCACATAAACATGAAATGTGCCTTTGACTTTTGGCTCAGAGAGACATTTTCCTGTGGCTGCAGCCTGCATTCAGTTCAGAGATGCTCTGAAGCCCAAATATCTCTGCTGGTGTGAGCATGAAAACATCAGCGTTCCTCTAAAACAGAAATTTGTGGCCCTCATTTTAGACTCTGTAAAATATTAGACTCTGAGGTGATCAGACATCTCCCACACTTTGTTTCTTTGAGTTATCCATCTTATTAATTTGCAACTACAGTGCTAGTGTACCTGTCTATGTGCTATGTGCTCAGATTTGTGTATGCCATCCCTCCACTACAATGATAACTTCAAATCTATGGCCTGGCCACTTCTGATGTTGTACAATACCTCCGGCTCACAGAAAGTGTTGAATTTAGTCCTTTGCACAGCCAAAAACAGCACAAATAATCTCGATACCCCTGACTTTGTGCACTGCAGTGTTGCTACATCAGTACAGGGAACATGAGCTGCAGCAACAAAGCTCAAATCGTATTATTGCTTAAAATATCCCAGCGTGCTTCAGGATTAACATTTTCCTTCATCTGGGTAAAGAGTAAAGCAAAGAGCAGGGAGAATAACAGCAGATAACCCCACACATCTACCCTTGTATCGGCTGGTGTGTCTTCGTCCTGTCACAGTTTAAATAGAAGCTACAGAGATTAGCGAGTCCTGTTTACAGAAGAGCACGTTGATAAGATCGGTGACGCTTTGGAGACAAAAACAGAGCAAAGGAATTAAAAATGGTAAAAGAGAGGCTGAGGTTATAGTAAAGCAAACACAACAACTCCACCCAGAAAGGACAGAGGACAGTTCACCTTCTTAAAGAGGAAATCGCCCTCTAAAAGAGAGGAAAACACCTGGAAAAGCTTCTGGTAATAGCACTGTTTTGGATTTTGGAGTTTATAGAGTTTATAAGTTGGAGGAAGAGCGTAAGAAGCCTGGGGAGGGGTGATCCTGGACTGTGTCACTGCCGAGTTTGTAGTCCTGTAGACAAATTCAGTGTGAGGTCACTTTTTGAACAAGTCCCAAGTGGCTGCTTAGCCAGCCCGCAGTTGTATACAGTTCACTGCTCAGATGGATCAGTGCACTAAGGACCACAGTTACTCAGTGAGAGCTGAGGCCCTTGCTGCAGCTGCAAGCTGAGAGACTCTGATATATGCGAGTGAAAAAGATCTGCAGCAGTTTGTCCTGTTATAAAAGCAACTAAACACAAGCTGTTCCACACACGAATCACTCGAACCATTCTCACTTTTAGAGCTTGACAACACCTCGCTGTGTTTCTGCAACACATTCACAAAACACTGAGTGTCATTTCTAGGGATGGGTACCGGTGTGTTCTGACATAAACGGTAGTAACCAGACCGAAAAGCAGCGCACATTTCGGTGCTTTATTTCGGTGCTTTTTTTTTTCCTGAGCTGTGATACACTTCTAGCCAATAATTTTACGTTTCCCAGGATAGTAGGCGGGGCCAGGTACGTACGTTCAGTTAGAGCAGAGCTACAGATTAAAAATGTCCAAGGCGAAGCGGTCAAAAGTCTGGCTGTACTTCATAGTAAAAGATGCAAACTCAGCAGCAACAAGTGCTTTAAGCTGATACTGTGATACTGTCAAAGGAGGTAACACCTCGGATCCGATGAAACACCTGGCGACGCATAGCGTTTTTTTTAAAAGCCGAGAAATGCGCCGTATTTGATAGCTTGCTGCGAGACCTCACACTGTGCACGTTGGGTGGGTTGCCAGTTATCGGACCCGGAGCAACAAAACCCCGAAGAATAGAGTCCTGGCCCCTAGCCCTGCCAGTGTAGCAGAAATGATGAGGATGATGATGCAGCAGCAGCCGTTCTTCTCTGCGTGAGTAGCTTAATGTTGTCCGTGTGTAATTTACGTTGAGTAGGCTAACCACGTTATTACATTAATGCATGTAAGGTGAACTAGCAAACATCATCATAGCTACATGCGGCTGTCCTCTTGTTTGATGGCAGATACTCCCTTCACCCTGGCCAAAAAGGCTAAAATGACCAAAGAAAAAGTGGGAAACAGTTAAACATGAGAGGTTTTTGGACAACGTTTGTGTTTTTTTTCCATTGTTTAAGCACTGCTTCCAGCCAAGAGTGATACATTGTTATCTTCTTTTTACAACAAAAAAACAAAACAAAACAGCTGAACATGAGAGGTTTTTGGACAAAGTTTGTGTTCTCCATTCTTTAAGCACCGGTTCGAGCACCGTTTAAGCACCGGCACCATTTCAAAAGTACCGATTTGGCACCGGTATTGGATAAAACCTAAACGATACCCATCCCTAGTCATTTCTGTTGGTGATGAAACCTGTGTTGATGCTGAAATCTCTGACAGCCGTACTATGTCTTGTGCATGTGATAAAATGACATTTGGACATTCTTTAGGCAGCAGGTAGCAAGACAGACAGCAGCGATTCGCATTTGCTGATCTGAAAAGTGCATTTTGCTGTCAAACAACCTCGCTATAACAGGAAGAAAGAGTTCTCTACTCGTAGAAAGGGACTTTGCAATTATCCGGTTTTATTAGCAAACACCAACCTTAGGGGAAATGAAGAGAAGCATGCACAGTTACAGCTGTGCTGCTCGTGCAGTAAGGGGAAATGCATGCTTAGTCTTCAAATTCCCCTCGTCCATTACATTGACAAAAATGACTCAACATTTTCTATAATGGTCTTATTTTTCAGAATGGAGGGAGTGTGTAATTGGTTCTGTCTGTCTGTCAGTCTGTTTAGCATCCACAGTTTTCAATCCTTCTTTTTTTCAATTTTGTGTGACGGCAGATGTCGATAACAACTCGAGCTGCTTTAATTTTATTCAAAATCAGATCAAGGCCACACCAAATGGCCTTGATCAAAAACAAACCAAAAACTTTGTTACCCACAAGTTTTTATAGATTGTCTTCAGACTTCACAACAATATACTAGGCTCCGGGGGACATGAGTACCAAGGTTGGCTAAGCGTTTGGACTTGACCTTCACTGTTAGTACCCAAGGTCAAAGTTGACCATGAGAAAGAAATGTGAAGAAACCATATCCAGTAATATGTCATATGAAAGTGCATCGTGAGAGCTGTAGCACACACTTTTTATTTTTTCAGTACGTTACACTATGACAGAGGTCTCCAACTCCAGGCCTTGAGGGCCGGTGTCCTGCAGGTATTAGATATAACCGTGGGTCAACACACCTGAGTCACATGATTAGTTCATTACCAGACCTCTGGAGAACTTCAGGACATGTTGAGGAGGTTATTTAGCCATTTAAATCAGCTGTGTTGGACCAAGGACACATCTGAAACCTGCAGGACACCGGCCCTCGAGGCCTGGAGTTGGAGACCCCTGCCCTACAACATCACAATGACGCTGTAATGGGCTGACGTCAGCATGTTGTCATAAAAACATTATAAAACACCAAAGTTGTAGTATAAGCTGTGCTGTCTGCTGTTGTTGTGTCTGTATTTCTGTGCATTTTCTCATTGGATGCAATATTTAAAACCAACAACTTCTGCTTTTACCACTGAACTTGTTTCAGCTGTGGATCATCTGCCTCCATCTTGCAACTCCAGCCATCCTGCTCTGTCACACCAACACTCTGCATGTCCTCCTCCATTGCAACCATTAACCTCCTATGAGTTCTTCTTCTATTCCTCAACAAGCTCCATTGTCAACATCCTTTGTCCAATATATCCTCCATCTCTCATCATGTCCAAACCATCTCAGCCCCACCTCTCCAACCTTGTCTCCAGACTGCTCAGCCTGAGCTGTCCCTCTGATTTTAGTCATTCCCAATGAAACAGGTGGGGGGAGAAAGATTTAAAAAAAAAAAGTACAATAAATTGGTTGCACAAGTGTACACACTCGGGTAAGAGTTTATCAGCATAGCTATATTGACTTTGCAATATTTGCCCCGTCTTTCTTGCCAAAGCGCTCCGAATCTGTCCAATTGTGTTGGCAGCCCTTTGCAGGTTACAAAGGGCTGCACAGAAAACACGTTTTATCCTCTGCATGTCCAATAATCTTGACTTCTCTCGCAAAGTTTACCTCTACATTGCCTACAGTGCCTGTGACCTTTGACTTCTGCCTGTGTCCCATAGGATCCGGTCACAGGCCTTCTCCCAGCAAGCCCAGATCAGCCTGATGCCTGGGTCCGTGACAATGTTTACAGCATCGTGTCCGTGTGGGCGCTCAGTCTGGCCTACAGGAAGAACGCCGACCGGGACGAAGACAAAGCGAAGGCCTACGAGCTGGAGCAGGTAGGTGTGCGCCTGTGGGTGGAGAGCGTTGAGGTCAAGAGGTTGTGTTTTTATTCTCTGACTTGGCTGGTTGGGTTTTTGATTTAAAGATGTGCAGGCTGAGGTGTAAATGTTGACATTTAAGCGTGTCTCTGTGTTTCTAGAGTGTGGTGAAGCTAATGAGAGGCGTCCTGCAGTGCATAATGAGGCAGGTAGGATATCTCCATTCTGTTTGTCTTTTAACTTCTCTGTTAGATACACGTCACTTCCCCTCTCTCTCTCTTTAAAAAACAAAAAAACATTTCTCTAACCCTGTCAGCTGTTTCCCTACCAGCTTCTCGTTGCTCACATTGTGATGTTTATTACTTTTATTAAACTTGAACGTGGCGTCGTCAGATTGGATTATTATAATGATTTTACTTTAACTGCGCTCGCTGTGAGTCTGAGAGCGGGGGCGGCTGACTCTAAGTGTGACTGTGAATTTCCACAGTTTATATATAAATGTGAACATTATTGTTGTCAGTTTAAATAACATTGATTCCATATTTATAACCTCTGCATTCATTTGTGCAGTTCTGTGATTACATTTGTTGGATATTTTAATCATTATTAACGTTTAGGAATCATTGCACATTCTTTGGACCTGCCCTTTTCACACGCTTTAAAAGAAAAATCTCTCCACCCTTCTTGTTCTCAGCTGGATAAGGTGGAGAAGTTTAAATACAGCCGTAGTACCTCAGACTCGCTCCACGCAAAGTACAACACCAAGACCTGCGCGACGGTGGTCGGGGACGATCAGTGGGGTCACCTGCAGGTCGACGCCACCTCGCTTTTCCTGCTGTTCCTCGCTCAGATGACTGCGTCTGGTAGGAGGGAACCTATAACATCCCCTGTAAAACAGATGAAACTAAACTAAAAAGCATTATAGGAAAACCAGAACCAGTGTTAATAGATGTTGTCGTTACCTTGAGTCTGTCTACATCAGACTTTGTTGCTGAAGAATCATTAATATTTTTTTTCCCATTTTGTGTTGATTTAGCTGAAGGAGTTAAGTGAATTTTAAACCATGTTGGTCAGACTTAGGCCTCAGTTGCACAGGTCTAGATAGTCGTTAGTGCCGTACAGGGAAAAGTCCCTGACTGGCTGTAGGTTTCTGTCGGTCACTAGGTGAAATTGGTCATAGAGAGAGCCCTGCACCAAAAACTTTGTCATGATTGCTTTGATCAAGTCGAGTAGCGTTTTATTGTCACCCCAACAATATGCACTCAAGTATACAGTGGGACGAGATATCAGATCAAAGGTGCAAACTGTAAAAATAAAGACGAAAAAATTCAAATATACATATATACAACTATACAGAAATGAGATAAAGTAGCAGATTGTCCTGATTGCCCGCAGTTTGCACGGAAAGGCCTCTTGTCAGCCTGTCGCAAAATGTACACATTTTCTTAGCAACCAGTGGTTGCTGGGACTGACTGAGGCTACGTCCACACTCGCCCGGATAGATTTGAAAATGGCGTTTTCGTCTGAAAACGCTCCGCGTCCTCACTAATGTTTTCAGTCGTTTTCAGAGTTGTGCATCCACATTGAAACAGACGAAAACGCTTATGTTCCAGTACTGCGCATGCGTGAAACACAAGACGATTCAACCTTTCTGTGTGTGGTATCATTTTGTCTTCCAGAATCTAGAAAAATAATTTCCCACAGATCAAAGAGACCTCTTTAGCTGTGATGTTTTGTCAGAGAACCCCTGAAACTCTGAGTCTACCATTGTGTGTGTGATTTGCATCCAAACAAAATGATTGTGATGATTTTTTTAAATTAACCTCCTAAGACCACGGCGTGCATTTTTAATTTCTCTTTGAAATTTGGGCATATTGGGGGCTGATGAATGTAAAAACAAAGAATTACCAGATTTTTAAAAAAATGTTTTTACCTTATTTTTGTTTCTAAGAAAAATGAGAGCCACATATGTGGATATTCGTTTAAACTTTTGATAGAACAGTAGCAGTATAATGTCCTCGTAAGTGGATATCAGGCCCTTGTAGAGCAAAATTGAGTATTTTGTTCTAAATAACCCAAAATGTGATGTTCACATATGTGGACGCCAGGTCCTAGGAGGTTAAGGTTCCTGTCTTCATTGTTTACGTCTGTGTCCCAGGTCTTCATGTCATCTACACCCAGGACGAAGTGGACGTAGTTCAGAATCTCATGTTCTACATTGAGGCGGCTTACAAAGTGGCTGTAAGTCAACTTTATTCTTCTCCAGCTCCACAGAAAATGACTGCTTCTTGTTTTATTCATTCTGTCTTGTTTCTATTTTCCCTCAGGATTATGGGATGTGGGAAAGAGGAGACAAAACCAACCAGGGCATCACCGAGCTGAACGCCAGCTCTATCGGCATGGCCAAGGTTGGCACAGACACACAAACATGCAATAAACGCAGACATCTACGACACTTTAACAAGCTCGGGGGGACAAAATAAGTGAGAGCAGAGCTTCCGACGCACAGGGGGAACAGGTGCTCCAGTAAAAATGTCTGGCACTGTCAAAGGTGCACAGCGGCCTTTACGCTGACCTTTAGAAGACCCTGACTCCACAGAGCTAAGTCTGGATCACATTCTGTACTGAAAGTATCTTCTCAGCCGCAGCATGTCAGTAAATGTTCAGATAAACTGTGAAGTCAAATCTGTTCCAGAACAAGGGCGACAGTCTTGCTTTTTTTTTTTAATTCCAACATGTTTTAATTTTATTGAATTCTCTGCAGCACAATTGACCTCAGTCGGTAAAAATCTGCAGTGAGAGTGAAACTTTCAGGTTACTGGTAAACATTACTGTGAGTTTTTTCACGCAGCAGCAGCCGGGCATGTTCTCTGTGCGTCCGGCTCTGTCCTCAGTTGGCATTAAAAGAGGGGTATCATGTTCTCTTTGGTCTTCCAAGAATGGCTTCTCACTCAGAAATAACATAATACTCAGCGCACACACACACACACACACACGTTTAATTTAAGACTTTGAAAACAAGCACCACTACAGGACCTTCTCTGCTCTGTTAATTATGTAAAGTTAATCTTATTTATAACAGCAGACCTGAGCTGAGCAGCTTTAACATGATTTGCTCCTCAATGCATTGAACCACAAGGTTTAAAATTAGAGATGGCATGATACCACTTTTTTATGTCCGATACCGGTATCATAAATTTGGATATCTGCCGATACCGATATGAATAAACAAAATAAAGTATGTCTTTGTGCCCCCTTTTCCCTGTTAATGCCCTATCGGCCCCCCTGGCAAAACTTTGCTAGATCCGCCCCTGCACAGTTACCAGCTGTCAGCTACCTAAAAAAGGATCCTGGTGTTATTTGTCTCTCAGAAACAGCTCATAACTTCCCTTCAACTCATTCATGTCACCTAAAAGGTAAACCTGTTTCTCCATCACCTGTTCAGCTCTGATGATTCAGTAAGGACATCTCCTGGTTTCATCTTCATGTTTCCCTCTCACCAGATAACCAAACCATATCTTGACCAGCAGGTTTACAGCTGTGGCTCCAGCAAACATCAGCTGATACTAGAAATTAATATTAAATAAATTCTAACAACAGCTGATCAAGCTTAAACGTGCTGGTTTCCTCTTTCTGGCTCAAGGTGGGTGATAAACAAGAGAGACGGGATTTGCGTCAGAAAAGCCGATCAGCTGATCATTGATCAGTTTCATGATTGAAGTAGCATCAGGAGAGGGAGGGGGAGAGGATGAGAGAAGAGGAGGCAGCTGTGCAGCAAAGACAGAAGAAGTCCAGCTTTGGGGGGTTTTTTGTTTGTTTTTTCATTCTAGCTGAATTATGGGACAAATCGCTTCCTTTTCACTGCAATATGGAACTCCGATGGCCAGTCCAGCTGTGGCTCCATATATCAGTTGTTAAGCTTAACGTGGAAATACTATGCAAACATTTAGCGATGAACTTACACACTTGCTTTACTTCTCTGGGATAGTTTTCTCCGAGATTAAATTCCGCGGTTTGGAAGTTTAGCTCCACCAGACCGCCGACAGGTCTCGCAGACAACAGCCGCTGTATCACGTGACACATACCGCTCCGATGCGCTCAGCTGGGTTACGCCAAGTAGCGCGTTTTGTGAGGTGATTTTGTGATACTTCGGATCGGATTACATTTTTTATTTCTCTCCGATATCCGATCCAGCAATTTAGGTCCGATACGTAATATCGGATCGGTCCATCTCCAGTTTAAATTGACCCATAATTTTAAAAATGTAAATAAGTGCCTCACATTTCCAGTGCAAATAAGCTGCTGTTTACCAAACCAGAGTGTATTTATCCACAAACTGTGTTTTAATCCTCCGTTTTTCCCAGTGAATCTGCAGTAGCAAAGCCTCTGAAGCGCTTTATTTGCACTGTTCTCATTTCTTTGAGCTAAAACGTAATATTTGATGGCTTCACACAGCCGCACATCAGACTAACCTCGTGTTGTGGGTCCCAAATGCTCTTTTGTCTGATGTTTTTGCAATTTAACCCTTATCCTCCATCTCTGTGCTAATTAGTTAATATTACCCAGACAATAGCTCTGTAGCTACAGTCACCTGGTAGCAGATGGAGCCCGACTTCACTGAGCCTCCAGACGTTGCTGGTATTTAGTCTTTATTTACAACCAGAGTTTTAGATTTTTTAGAAATACTTCAGTCATATCACGGTATAACTTATTTACATGTTATCTGGATTGATAACCAAACACCAGATTTGGTTTTAAAGCTTTATTGTAGCGCCTGATAAACAGCAGAAATAACTGTAAGCCTCTAAACTGTCAGCGGTGCCTTGTTGTTTGTTTTTGGGAAGTAAAAGAGTGTTTGAATGTAGTCAGGCTTGAGTAGTGGACAGCTGCCCTCTTTTCATTGACTGTTATTAATGAGTGTGTTTGCTTTGTGTCCTTCAGGCAGCTCTGGAGGCGCTGGATGAACTCAACCTGTTTGGAGCAAAGGGAGGACCGGGCTCTTTGGTCCACGCTCTGGCTGATGACATACAGCAGTGCCAGGTACGTGCACACAGTTAAATATCAGGATAGGAAGCTCATCGGCTTCCTTTGATTTCAATATATGTCTGTATTCCCATCAGTCCATCCTGACGTCCATGTTACCCAGAGCGTCCATCTCTAAAGAAGTGGATGCCGGAGTGCTGGCCATCATCTCGTACCCCGCTTTTGCAGTTGAGGACATAAGTATAGTCAACGCGACCAAGGAGGAGATCATCTCCAAACTGCAGGTGCAGACAAGTTCACAGAGGCAGGGTCAACGTGGCAGAAGTTTAGGGCTCAAGTTATAATTTTCGGTACATCAAGGACAATTTATTTTCTAAACTTTGGCTGATTTGTGCAGAACATTGATTTAATGGAAGTTTCCCAAAAGAAGAAAACGGCAACAAGAAAGCAGGAAAACGTTCATATGGCTGGATGTGTTGTTTGATTTTCTGTGGACTTCATTCAAACAGTCTGTCACATATAAAGAAGACACTTTAAAAAAATGTATCTACTGGACTCTTTTTGATTATGTGTGATTTCTCAGAGTCACTGAATCAGCTGGTTGTTTTAGCAGTAAATGAAAGTTTGGGTCATAAGCCAGGACACAGAGGAAGGTTAGACTGGGCAAAAAGTCGTTTTCAAATCCAACCAGCTTAAAAGAAACAACTTGTAGCTAAAATTGAGCTTGTTTTATGAGAATATGCCTCATGTATTTATGTTTGAGGTGCTGATTTCCTCTGTCTCTGTTCAGGGTCGATACGGTTGCTGCAGGTTTCTCAGAGATGGACACAGAACCCCCAAAGAGGTAAACAACCTGTAAAGGTCAATGCTCCCTCTAATTCGTCCTGTCGGATAATCTATTTATATCTATTTGTTTGGGTTAGAAGAAGAAAAAACATTCGACTGAATCTATGTAGCATTTTTTTTCTGTTTTGTCTCCTGCAGTCAGTAAATGCACAGCTGTCTGATCTGTTTGTTGCTTTTTTAATGTGGTCAAACTTTGTGGCTTAAACTCTGTTCACTGTTATGAAGCTCGGTGGCACGTCTGAGGCGAACACCAGGCTTGTGCTGCTTTGTTGTTACATATGGGATTGTGAAAAGAGCATGTTTGGTTAAAGGAGTGTGTCAAATGTCTGCAGCTTTACAGATCATCTTGTAGCACTGAATCATCTGTGAGTGTTACTCTTTAATATCTGTCAGGGTCATGTCTCCTCAGATTTGGTTTGGAATCTGAGGAGAAAAATCCAAACCAAAGATGAAGTTATGGGAAAACTCAAACATTTGTGACAGGACAAAGTGAAATTCCTTGCATGGGTATAGATTTCAGGGGGATACAGGGGAACAGACATGGATTTGTCAGGGAAGTAGAGACAGGGAAGCACTGGCATCATACATTTATTTATTTATTTTTTTTAAGGAAAGGAACAAAAGTACAAAAGACCCAAGACACTCTTACTTTATACAATTTTCCGTATTAATCTTCTTAATCTTACTTAGGGCTGTTCGATATAACGATAAATATCGGATGACGATATAAAAACATCTATAGTTTCATTTTACGCTGTCGTTTGTTTTGTGGTGTCGCAAAATAAACTGTTTACGGCAACATTTTTTTTCATGGTTGGATGGTCACTGTAGTGGCTATATTAGTTTCTTAAAGTTCTCTCTTTCTCTTATATTTAATATAACCACACTACGAACGGACAAGCGCCTGGTTTTATGCGTTGTTGTTAGCAACAAGCAAAACCATCACGTCTGCTTGTTTATTCTCCACATAAACCTTTCACAATAAAGCTCAAGATCCTGTTGAGACTTTTCAAAATAAACTGAATCACGTAAAAGAGGATGCAGAGTGTTCACGGATGAGAAGCAAAAGAGAGCCGCCAGGTGCTAAAAAATAAACCTTAGACTCAAACGTTAGAACAGGCTTTTCCCCGCAGCACGCTGTGTAATAAATACTCACAAAGAAAACTGCGTCCGTTACAACTTATGACTAAAAATGTAGAGTTTCATGCATCGGTTAAAACACTCGACTCCAGGTATGCGACGCGCAGCTGGAAACACTTCACACGAGGCGAGCTGCCCGAGATTCACAGAATTTACAGAAAATGTTAAATGTTTGTGATTTATATCGTTATCGGGACGATAGATGTCTTGTATGGGGATATGAGATTTTGGTCATATCGCACAGCCCTAATCTTACTTATATGTATGTTTGTTGTGCATGATCATAAAAGTTCACACACATGGTTACAGCCTGCAAACAGTTCCTGAGAGAAGTGGACATATTTAGGATCTCTGTTTAAGTATCGGGTTCATGTTGAGAGACTCTGATTTTTGAGACGGTTTGACTCTCACAGAGGAAAGAAGTCAGATCTGGATCTGATTTTGCGAGTACTGCAGCTGAAGGTTTGTACTGTCTCCATAAAGGATCCAAACAGACTCTATTACGAGTCCGCAGAGCTGAAGCTGTTTGAGAACATCGAGTGCGAGTGGCCTCTGTTCTGGACCTACCTCATACTGGATGGCATCTTTATCAACAGCCCCGAACAGGTAATTTAAATCTCAGAGACTCTGCCTGTGTGTGTGCATCAGTGTTTGACGGTATTTACCTCCTTTATTAACAAAGGAAGTGTTTTGATGTGATCCAGGTGCAGGAGTACCAGGAGGCTCTGGAGGGAATCCTGATCAAACAGAAGGACGGGGTACGACTGCTGCCGGAGCTCTACAGCGTCCCCGCAGACAAGGTCAGACATCTTGATGATTTAGAAGCTGATTTTAACTCATTTTAATGTGTGAGCTACAAGATTCTTAGTTTTGACCCTGCAGCCGTAAAAGGCCGATGGGGTATTGTCTTCACCCTGCCAGGCAGATGGGCAACATGGACTCGTGTTTGTTAATGCAATATCTCGGGAGCAGCCAGACAGGCTTTTCAGATTGATAACATAGAGATACTATTCAGTTGCCAGTTTATTATTTCTGCAGGCTTAAAACAGTTTGCATTAAATGAAGTTTTCATCACTGACAACCTGAAGGCTGTTCATCTTTAAACGCTGGTTGTTATTTAAGCTAACAATAAACTGTGTCTAACTTTGTCAGCTCTTAGTAGCTTTGGAATTATGTGGTCGCAAATGCTTTCCTGATTGGCTTGTAAGTGATGTTGTCATATAAATGTACTGGTTATACTGGCATCAAGCCCTCGGGACCTTCCAGTGTTTCCTCGTATATGTACATTTATTGTTACACACCCTTTGTGATATTGATCATATGCTGATTACATGTACACAGCTGTCAGCACCGAGGCCGTTGTGTCACACGTCAGTTTTCCACAATCTTGACTCGGGGTCTTTAACACAAATACAAAAAGTGGGAATATCACTGTAAGTGTGGAGGGTAGCCTCAGTTTCAAGTCCTCTTGTTTCAACCTGTTCTCATCTTCAGGTGTTTTAGTTCCTCTGTAGAAAAAAACAGAAACAGTAATCTGCTTCTCTTTACTCACCGCAGAAGTGATTTAAGTGTTTTCTTAAATGCAATACGCCCGTGCCCATTAAAACGATAAATGAGGAGAAACGACCTCATGACCTCTGACTTTTAATGCCCCATATTTAAACTCGTTCAGACCTTTCAAACGTCTTTATCCTGTCTCGTTTTTGCTTATTCAAACAGGTGGAGGAGGAGTACATAAACCCTCACACCGTGGAGAGGATCCCGATGGGAAAATTACCCCTGAGGTGGGGGCAGAGTCTGTACATCCTGGGAAACCTGTTAGCTGAGGTGAGCTGCTACATAAACAAATGACCAGCTGTAGCTCTGCAGCTCAGATAAGTGTTAATAACAAAGTTACACCGTAAGAGTCGAAGAAAACAAACACACTTAAGATTTACTGCTAAACGTCAAATCATTTAGTTTGTCTTGGTGGTTTTTTTCAGGGTTTTCTGGCGCCTGGAGAAATTGACCCTCTTAACCGGCGTTTCTCCACCATCCCCAAGCCTGACGTGGTCGTACAGGGTGAGTTAACCGCCCAGGTCCCAGTACGACGTTTTGAGCTCCAGATTAGTGTTAATTATTTTAAATGGACTACTTAAGCTTTTTTAACCACCTCATCACACACTCACATGCTGATGATTGCATCAGGGTTAACTCAGGGCTCGGTATTTTGCCCAAAGATAATTCAATATGCAGGCTGGGCAGTAGATGTGAGTGATGTCAGTGATCTGTATGGTTTCATGTGCGTCTCTCCCCCTTCAGTGTCGATTCTGGCCGAGACGGAGGAGATCAAAGAGCTGCTGTTTAAGCAAGGGATAGAGGTGGAGACGGTGGCGGACATCCACCCCATCCACGTGCAGCCCTCCAGAGTCCTCAGCCATATCTACGCCAGACTTGGTACAAACGCCCTGCTGTGGCCTGATCTGTCCCATCAAGATTTTATGCATCAGGCACAAATGTTATGGACTAGAGCCTGCTACAGATTCATGACCTCAGCAAACACTTTCCTGATAATATTATAGTCTTAGTCACATGATTTTTTTTTCTTTTACAACATGTTAGTTTTATACATAACGGTCCGTTTTACAGTCAAATAAACCATTAAAAAAAGAGAGAGATACTTTAGGACAAGCATACCTTATGATTGAGCCGTCGTTACCGTGTGAATGTGAGGCATTGCCTGCTTATCGCTTATGATTTAAAAACCACCAGCAACAAAAAACGATGTTGGCGGCCAAAACGCTGAGCTCAAGGCTTCAAAGTTAATCACAAACCAGCGGGTGATGTCACGATGACGACATTTATCGTTCATAGACTGTCTGTGATCTGAACCCGGGATTTTTCTTGACTATTTGAATCTTTTAAATCAAATTAATTCAAATTCAACATTATTTTGTCTGGGATGGAAGTGTTTGCTGTTCAGGGTTGATGCTTTTTAGTCCAGCAGCGTCTGCAGTAAAGTTATGACAGTACTTCCTAAATTAGATGAGACTGACTAACTTCACAAAACATCATATCTGAAGGACACAAAAAAAGCCAAAGAGTAGAGCGTAGATTTTTATCAGGGGGGTTCATGAAATCAAACGTTTAACTGCTTTTTTTTTTTTTCTTGTTTCAGGTCGTAACCCGAGGCTGGGGCTGACAGGACGCCCCTACAGGAGGATAGGAGTGCTGGGAACCTCCAAGTTCTACATCATCAGGAACACCATGTTCACATTCACACCTCAGGTTAGAAAAAAACTACAGAAAACATCAGAATAACACGCAGCTCACTTTTTATTTTAATGGTGGCACGCATGAAGGTCCTGGGTTTGAATCCACCATCTGGTTGGAGCCTGTCCCCCGTTCTCTCTCCAGGTATTCCGACTTCCTCCACAGTCCACAGACATGCAGTTAGTGGGGTTAGATTAATTAACGATGTCCATAGGTGTGAATGTCCTGAGACAGTCTGGCAGCCTGTCCTGGGTGCACCCGGCCACCGTAGGACACCATATTGGATCAGACTGTTTTACTGTCTTGTGAATAATATTGGCTTGTTCACAGTGCAAAAAAAGCTTATAGGAGCGACACAAGGCTGGAAAAGTGAAAAGAAACAGCTGGAGGAACATTTTGCAACTAATGAGGTTCATTGGCCACAAGTTAGCAACATGAGTGGGTTTAAAAAGAGCGTCTTAGAGAGGCAAAGATGTGCAGAAGTTCATCACTGTCTACTGAAGCTGTTCCACATTTGTAATGTTTCCCGCCATTAAATTATGAAGGCTTTGAATGTCTTATCATCTTCAGTACTGAATATCCTAAAATAATTCAGGTAATCTGGAGAAATCTCTGTGTGCAGCAGACAAAGGCCAACAGTCAATACTGGAGGTCCTTCATCTTCACTGTTTCATCCACACGTGCAGGTTAAAGCTCCATCAGGGAAGGAGAAACCATCTGTGCCAAAACATGGGGACAGTATTCCTCTCCCAAAAGTCCAGCAGCTCCCACATTTACACACAATTGTTGTTCTTTTTGATCATATACTGTGAATAAAATCTGGGTCAAAATGAGAAATGAGATTGATGATAAAATGAGATTTGCAGACCACCCAAATTCCCTTCTGGTGAAGGGAAATCTGGTGACTTAAATAAACTTAAGTAAACACATTTTCCTCTGTTTCAGTTCATTGACCATCAGCAGTTCTATTTGGCTCTGGATAATAAAATGATCGTGGAGATGCTGAGGACAGAAATCGCCTACCTCTCATGCAGATGGAGGATGACGGGAAGACCGACTGTCACTTTTCCCATTTCACAGACGATGCTGAGTGAGTGAGAAGACCTTTTCTGCTAAATGTCCAAATACATCTTATTTATTAAATGAAGCACCTGCATTATTAATGGTAGAGAGAGTTTGAAAGGAAATCTTTAAATATTGGGAAAAAAAAGTATTTTTATTGTTTACATTTTCTGTGCTTGCACGTTTTCATCTTGTGTTTGTGCTTCAGCTGAAGATCACTCAGACCTGGACCCTGCAGTTCTGGCAACACTCAAGAAATTACAGGACGGGTATTACGGAGGAGCAAGGTCAATTTCTTTTTTGCATTAAATTTGAATTCTTACATCTGACAACTTGTAATAAGTTCTGTTTTGTTTTATTTATTTTGTCTTTCTTTGCGTGTCCAATTAAAGACTTTATTAGTTTTTCCTGCACTGTAGAGACTATTTAAAATCCTCTTTTATTGATTAATTGCCAAGATTTGTCATTAAAATGCATCAAACTGCTTATTAATGTTTCCCAGTTCTCATAATCATCCCCTCCTCTTCTGTTCTTCGTCTTTAGGATCCAGACGGGGAAGCTGTCGGAGTTCCTGACCACTTCCTGTTGTGCTCACCTCAGCTTCCTGGACGGTAAGGCTTCTGGCAGCATGGGCCGCCACGACGAAGAGTATGATGGTGATGATGATGAGCGTTACGGCGATGGATACGTGCATGAGTTGCATTATGATGCTGGTAAGAAAAACACAGCGTGGATGGAGGGTGGAGAAGGAATGGTGACACCAGGATTCACGTTTTTAAAGCCGGAGCTCACACTGACAGCTCATTTTTCTTTTCCTGGGTTGGTTCGATCATTCCTGAAAATACTCACACAGTCACAGACCCCAGCAGCTGTTAGCAGACTTACAGTTTCTTTAAGTTGACAGTTTTTCTTTTAACATTGGCTGATTTTTGAGTTGCATCTGTGCATCTACATTTTATTTCTTTTTTCCCCTCATGCCATCTCATTGTGAAATCTAAAATCAAATACCCATGACTTCATTAATCAACACTTCCTGTTTCATCCTATCATCATCACCCATCATCCCTGTGTATCAGAGTTCTTCCACTCGGGGCTTTGGGTGCCTTGTTGGGCAACTTGGAATATTTTTCTTCTTTTGCTCTAAATTATTACATAAAATAACTCAAAACTTGACTTGTAATGGACCTTAAAGTGGACCTCTAATGCTTTTCCTTATTTTCTGTCATATACTTGATGTACAGTCAGTTTGTTGATGCTCATATTTAACACAGGAAAGCTTGGTAATGAGGTCTGCAAATATACAAGTAATTAAAATGTTTTGTTTTTCTTTTACTGCACTTTTTAAACATTGCTGCCAAGTTCTTTAATGATCGTCTGACCAATCACAGACATGGATAAATGCAATGTTGCAAAGGAAGGGCAAATATGAAAGTAGTGCTGAACAGTAGTCGAGTAAAAGCACTGAATAAATGAATGTATGCATGCGGGGTAAAAGCTACTATATCAGTAAAGTTTAGCCTTTTTGAAGGCTGGAAAGAAAGCCTATCCTCCTGTGTCTGTCATTGGGACAGAGGAGGATCTAATGGCTCAGTGTGAGTCGATAACTGGTGTTTATTGGTTTGAAAGAGGGAAAATAAAAATCAGATTTAACTGTACTCTATATTCAGATTTAGTATAAATCCTCAAATAAAATCATTAGCTCTGTTTTAGAACCGGATATTAATGCTTGTAAAACAATAAAATTGTAAAATCATTTGCAGTCAACAAGAAAAAAAGACGCTCAGATTTAACGATCCTTTCAAGCCAGAGTTCAATCTGAACACTCAATTTAAAACTTTAAAAATATTTAAAACAAAGCATTTTCAGGCAGTTTTTATTTTTATTTTTCTGCTCTGCTTGGCTATGCATTAAGTGAGAAAAAAAAAATACCTATATGGGAATTACAGCACAGAAGCTCCGCCCACTGGCAGATGGGATCTTCCTGGGTCCTGCAGGTTTTAGATGTGTCCTTGATCCAAAGCAGCTGATTTAAATGGCTAAATGACCTCCTCAACATGGCCTGAAGTTCTCCAGACGCCTAGTAATGAACTAATCATTTGATTCAGGTGTGTTGACCCAGGATGAGATCTAAAACCTGCAGGACACCGGCCCTTGAGGCCTGGAGTTCCCCACATTTGGTTTAAGCGTTGCAGCCAATCAGACGAAAGTTAGGAAGGAGCTAAAATGACTTGCTTCAGAACTGCTGCTGTAGAGAGTCCATGATTGAAAAATGACAATATGGAAATAAAGATAATGGGTCCTCTTTAAAAAATAAAAAGTATATTTTTGACTGTGGTGCATTTAAAACGCCTCAAAATCTTAACACGAGTGGAAGAATGAAAACATTCTCAGTTTCTGGTTGTGTTGTTTGTGTTCACGCACAGCTGGTTAGATTTGCCTTAAACGCCTGTTTACAGACCCTTGGTCCCTAAATGCATCACAATTTGCTAGCATGGCTGTGACCAATAAAGTCTTCAGTTTAAAGGGTCAGTTCACCCCAAAGCCTCACCCACAAAAGCCATTATAATTATTACACACAATTGTCACGTTTAATGGTGTTTATGAATATTTGCAATTTGTTCCTCGGAAAAACAGAAATTTCTGTAAAACAATATTAATTTTGTTGTAAACCACCTGAAATGAACGAAGATCTTTTTTGCTCAGATACTCAATAAGTTTTGTTTTTGTGAGATTTTAGTGAGCAAACCCTTTAAAAGCTGCAAGTTCAAAGTTTATAAATTAGCATAAAATGAAAAATGGTTTTCAGATCTTATTTCTTTTTAGTACTTTATGAAGTTTAGAAGGAAACTCAGTTTTAACACTTGTCTGTACAAAAAAGAGTGGTGAGTAAATGATCTCTTTCTGCGTCTTCATTTTTCCTCCTTTCCCCCTCCACATTTCTGTTCTTCTCCTCATCCCACCCTCCTTCATCGCTTTGTTTTGTTCTCTTGGTCCCTCCCTACAGAGGATGACGACCTCGCGCAGTACCTTGACCACCTGTTGGCCCACTCTGCCCCCAAGAAGCCCAAGCGTCCGGTGGGAGGTCTCAGCAGATTCAAGGCTGCGGCCACCAAAACCAAAGAGATGGTGACTCTGATGAACAAAGCTCAGGACCTCAACATACAAAGTGAGTCGGCGCTTCGTCTCCGACTGACAAACTCGACTAAATCACAAATTTAATAATAAAACGTTGTTTTCTATTTTTCCCCCTCAGATGTCAACATGTACCTGCCGAGCAAATTGTTTCGTTCTCCTCAGCCGACGCTCAACCTGAATCTTACAGACTCTCCTGCATCACCAGACGTTCAGGTTCTTTTTCCTTTCTTTCTTTTCTCTCCTCTGATGTCAGCTCTTTGCTCACTTGCAGACTCCTCGGTCTCTCTGTGTTTTCACTCCAGGGTCCTGAGGCAGGGGTCACAACACAGAGTGGCATTCCCAGAGATGCCAGCGGAGCCATCGACTACAACGCTTTGGCCCAGCTGCTGAAAGACACACAGTCTCTGCAGGACCAGGCTGATATACTTTACATCCTCTACAAAGACAAGTGAGAAACATGAGGCTGGGTGTGTTTGACATCACCATGATTTTTATTAAAACAGATATGAAACACAACGAAGGTGATGCGAAAAAGCAGGAACTGCAGCAAACTTAATTTTGGTATTAAAATATTAAAGCCTCAGTCACAAAAGCCTAGAGACTCGTCAGCTAACCCCGGCAACCACTGGTTGCTAGGGAAGCGTGTATTCCCAGACACCGGCAGCCCAGCAGTTGATGGATGTTTACAGAATAGAAGGATTAAAACAAAACAGTCTGTTTCAATATCTCCTCGTAAATGTGAAAAACCAGGTTAAAGCCCAACATTTACATTTTTTCCTTTTGAATGATTGTGATTTAGTAATGGTGACACGCTCACTTACAGCTCATTGGAAGACTCTAAGGATTTACAAGAAACAACGAACTAAAGTCTAAAGGTCATCGGCTGACTGGCCAACTTGTAGCGCTCTCTATTTTTAGCTGTGCTGAGCGGAGGTCGCCGCCTTGACGTGGAAGCAAAATAGTGCAGTTTGTTTACTTTTTTGTTTTCTTTGTGTTTTACACATAAAAAACTGTTTAATAAATAATTTTTAGTCATAGTTTTGACCGATATTTACAGACAGTGAAGTCTTGTTGTTGCTTGGCTGGCTTGTTTCTGTGTACGGCTGCGTCTTTGGCTGGCTTATTTTGTGCTGCATCATGCAAACAGTCAACCAACCAAGCTAGCTCATCAGTGTGAGTCTCAGGATCTGGAAGAAGTATCTGAACTTGACTCCACAGTTGAGTCATTAAGCGCTCCTGATTCAGACTGTGCTGCTGTGACATGTCAAAACGGCGTTGAAAAGAATGAAAAGCCCTTGCTGTCTTTCCTTTGTCAGGGGTATGGACTGGGACACGGGTGTGCATGGTAAAGGCTCCACTGTGAGGTCTCTGCTGACTGATCTTTATGAGAAGGCAGGTGAACTGAAACACTGGGGTCTCATCAGGATGATCTCTGGCATGCTGAGGAAGAAGGTGGAGGAGCTCGACTCGGTACGGTGCAGCTATAGATAACAGGGCAGCGTACAGAAGCTGTGGTCAGGTGTGACGTTACTAGTGAATCTTCTGTTTTAGCCATGATTATGAAAAAAGTCCTGAAGCTACAGTTTTAAGTAAAGTAAAAAATAATGTAAAACTAAAATCTATATGAACAACTGGTGGGTTCATTGTTCATTATTGGCACAGATTTGAACTCTACGAGTGCCTTTAAATCTTCAGTCATTCATCTCTTACCTTCACATGTAACGAGTCACAGAGTCCGAAAAGCTTGAAATGAGTTGACCACAGTTTGTGGTTAAATTAAAAACTTCTAAGAAGGTTTAAAGAAAAGCTCCTGAAGTTGGAGTGAAATACCTCTGAAATGCCAACCCTCTGCTATCAGTTGACTCCATGCTGCATTAGATCTCCCACCAGCAAGCCCTTAACTTTTCCTGCTCTTTCCTAATTGGTTGTGGTCTCTCTCGGTAGGCCTGCTCTGATTTGCTGGCCCACCAGAAGCACCTGACGATCGGACTCCCTCCTGAGCCGAGAGAGAAAACCATCACGGCTCCGATACCGCCGGACCAGCTGGCGAATCTTATCGACGAGGCCAGTGAAAACAACATCAGTGTTGCCATTCTCACACAGGTGAGTTACCTCCTCCACAATCATGTGTTTAAAACCTTCTCCTCTATCTGTCCTTCATCCTTGAAATGTCTTTCCACCAGGAGATCATGGTGTACCTGGCTATGAGCATCAGGACTCAGCCCAGGCTGTTCAGCGAGATGTTCAGGCTGAGAATCGGTCTCATCATCCAGGTGATGGCCACCGAGCTGGCTCAGTCACTCGGCTGCTCAGGTAAGACGGGAAGGTGGTTTAAAGCTGGGCTTTAAGAAGTAAATTACTCAAGTTTGTTACTAAAAATCCATGTCTCTCATTGTGACTTTATGCCTATAGTGGAGTAACAAACCAAAGATCACATTCAGCCTAAACGTTACAAACCATGTATTTGTAAATTGAACAAGGATGAACTACGTGTTGGTTTTTAACAGAACTGCTAATTTACAACTGTAGCCCCGGGACATAAAAGCACATATATACAACAAAACACCCCAAATGTATCCAAGCAGTGCATCATCAACATTCTGTAAACACAATCACAGATCTTATTAAACTGATTAATTTGTTGATGCGAGTTAAATGTGAAATATTGCCTCCAATCGTAAAATGTTTTCCTTGGTTTTCCCTCCAAATAGTTTCTTTGGCCTCTTTGGCTTGATGTAAGGTTAAGAAAATAAATGTGTGGGAAATGAAATCTTAATGAAGTCTTCTTTCACTCTTGTAAACTTTATCTTCAAGGTTTTTGTTGTAATGTATTAACCAAGTTATGTGTTCAGCATAAGTTACCATGGTGATTTAGCCAGATAAGAGTCTGTTTCATGGGAAGGGAAACTCTGACTTAAAGCTCCACAGTAATCTTTCTTCATAGTACGGGCTTCAGGTGTCATGTTTGTCTTTGCGTTTGTGAAAACAGGAGAGGAGGCCACAGAGACCCTGATGAGTCTGAGTCCGTCTGAACTGAAGAACTTGCTCCATCACATCCTCAGCGGGAAGGAGTTTGGAGTGGAGCGCAGTGGTGAGACCTCTTACCTCATGTAACACGAGAACCAGTCATATGCTGCAACTCCAACTTCTGATTGGGTAGGGCAGTCGTCACATGAAAAGAGAAATCTTTTGACAAGAGTGTAGCCAAAGTAATCTGTTTCATTATGCTGTGGAAGAAGGGTGGGCAACAGTTTTTAATAAGTAAGCCACTGACAGGCCTCATATTTCCACAGAGAAACTGTAACATTGCACGCACGATGTTCCACTAACTGCTAGAGAAGACCTCTCTAGATTGTTTATTCTTGTTATTGATATCATTGTGTGTGTGTGTGTGTGTGTGTGTGTGTGTGTGTTTATTTATTTTAGTAGCTTGGTCAGCATGGGAGTATTTGCCCCTGTGTGCTGTCCTAATCTGTTTTCCCAGACTTGATTTTGAACAAAAATCCACACGTTCACCGTTTGACCTTTACTCCCATTTATTTTCTCTCTGTGCCTGTCCTGTTTGTTTCTTCTTCCTCAACCCTCCACACAGTTCGGGAGATGGATGCCGGCGTCAGTCCTGCCATCTCGATCCATCATCTCGGGAATGTGGGAGCCACTAAAAGCGAGAGAGCCGGCATCAGCAAACTGAAGAGCGACATGAAAATGGTAGGATGCCATGACTGTGAGATTACAGTTACCTTGCTCCACATAGGAAGCTCATCTTAAAGCGCTTCTTCAGACACACACACTGTGTCAACTTTAACATTTGACTGTCATGAAACGAGTAAACTCAGCAGCCCATTAAACAGAGATGGAGATGGAGGCAGGAGAGGCTCTTATTTTGAAATTGTTGAGCTTTTTTGGCAAACTCGACTTTTGTGTTTTTGCAGCTGGAGCAAAGGTTGTCTTTGACGGATCTGAACAAGGTGATGTTAATGATTTAAATGAGGTGCTAATTCACCTGGAAGAGGGTGCTGGTGGGACATGAAGTAATTCATAGAGAGCTGAAAGCATGTGCTGAAGGAGAGCGGTGGCTCGTTGATGGGAAATTGTCGGCTTTAAGATCGAGACTATTGATCGATTTGAATCATTATGTCTGTTAGAACAGCTCAGTCGTTCATTCACGACCTGGTCCTTGTGTTGCAGGTGGATCGCAGGTTATCCATGATGGACACACTTAAGGTGATGATCACATGAAAGAATATTACCTATTACAGTGATGACATCTGTTAATTTGTTGTTGTTGTTTTATTTTTGTTTTTTTTTACTTGTAGCTGTTAATTCACCTTCTGTGTAAACCTCACCGATCGATCAGATCAACAGATCGATCATTAGGGAGGCTGTTCATTTGTAAAACTCAAGGCCTGCTTATTTGCTCCCGAGCTTTCAGCTGCGTTCCTCAGACTTCATCATGATGAAGGTTTTAGATGAGTTTTGTCAACATTTTGGAGAGTAGCTAACAAAACATCCTTAAGTCAAAAGAAACTTATGGCTATTTTGTTTTGTTTTTTTGGGTTAGACAAAAATTATATTATTTTTTTACCATGATTCTTAAATTGTAGTGTACACATAATGACACCAGTCTTGATGAATGTCATTTTATTTTTTGAACATGCATTATTTTCTTTAAGATAACCTAAAATACATCAGTCATTTAACTGTAAACTTTATAGGCTATCAGACAAGGTGTGTGTGTGTGTGTGTGTGTATCGAGAGAGAGAGATTTTTTATTTTTATTTCCCACTATAGAGCATCTCATAAAACAAAAAATGAATAATGGGGACCCCATAGTAGAAATGAACTTTAAATAGACTTTGAAATGAAATGGTTTCAGTGGTTGGGCTGCGCATGAGTTCAGATGGGGCTGCAGTTAACCCATGAGGGGAGATGAGTTTGATATCACTATTCCTTAATGTAGATGCTTTAAAGCTGAGGGTGTGTACTGCAAACTTGTTACACCAGAACTTTTTGGTAATAAAAATGATTCAAACTATTGATCTGTGGATGGGGTCCCCTGAGTCACCTGCTATAATTGTGTCCATTTTGGGTGACTTCTTCCTGCCGTTATTTGTGTATCTGTTAAACCACCAGCAGGTGTTAACCTCACAGAATGACCTTTATCACAAACTTCTATTAATTCTCATCCTTAATCTGTAGATGAGATTTGCAACGTCGCTGTATTATGTTAGCCTGAATTATATCACTCAACTACCCTAAATTCACTGACCCTCCATGTATTTGTATTTAAAGTTGATTTAAACACTGTGTAAACGCTCCCGGAGGATAAAGACTGTGAGAGACAGTTGAAAGCTCTGGAACAACAAGCTGTGATGGTTCAGGCAGCCGCTGTAATTCTGCTCGTGATGATGATGATGATGATGATGATGATGATTTCATGGGTATTGAGGAGGAAGATTTGAATGTGCTTTTGGCTTTGCTGTGGAAGAGCAAGCTGGGGTTGCAGATTTAAAAACTGGCCTTTGTTTAATGTGTTTTTGTCTATTACAGACAGACCGCAGCGTGTCTTTGACCGACTCAGTTGAGGTGACGATGATAAAGAAAGTGTGAGGAAGATTTAGAAATTGTAATTTTCAGTTCACACTTCATTCAAATGAAGTGGAGCTGTAGGTCGTTTCTGATCAAACTGAATCAAACCTTGGCTGGTTATTATCATTGTCGTCATGTTGACTACAAACCTGAACTTCCGTGGCTGTATCGCTCACAGCTGTGTGAGTCTGTTATATTGAATCCTTTACTCTGATCAGGCCACGCCCATCTTAAAACTCAACCTTTACTTTGAGCTCAACTACACCTGGAATTATACTATGATACAAAGTTAGCAACCTCTGTCCCCGTGTGATCAAGTCAATTCCTACCGTAATGCTTAAAAACCAAATCAGACTCACAGGGTGAAAACGATACCAGCCACACTCTTATGAGGGGTAATGATGGTGGTGTGGGTGATTCGACCCATCTCTCATGGAATCTGAATGGAAAACGTTTCGGCAGAAGTTAAAGCCTCCATCTGTGATCTTCTCTTCCTTTCAGCTCGACCAATCTGTGACGTCCACCCTGAAGGTGACGGTGATAACGACATTAAAGTCTGATAACTGAGCATTCAGGGTGGTTTGAGTGATTAACAAGTGGCTGCTCAACAAGTGAACTGCATTGCAATAGTAATCATCTAAGCAGCTAACCACAGCTTCAGATACTGATTTGCCAATAATTGTTAATCAGTAATAATTATTGTTGATTAATTAATAATTGTGATTATTATTATTAACCAATGCTTCTCTGACCAATCAGAGTTGACTGTAAATTTAATTTTACTCCATTTAAAACAAGAAAAAGAAAAGTTAAGTTAATTAAGCAGAATTATTTATAGTAAGCTTTGTAGGAAAATGTCACAGTTGTCGATTCTGTAAAACCTCAAATATTTGGAGCCCACAGGTCCGACTCGTGAGTAAGATCTCGCCGATCTTTAACCAGCTGTTACAGTATGATGCAGATTGGGTGGAGCTGTGCTGTGATTCGTGGTTTTCTAACAGAATTTCTCCCACTTGACGCCCTGGTTTTATTCATGCTTGCTGGCTTTTACCGATCCTTAATTCTTCAGTTATTTTCAAGTCAGTTTTTTTTTTGTTTGTTTGTTTGCTTTCTTTTTCCTTTCTCCTCTTTTATGTTTTATTCTCTGCCTCTCAGGGCATGCAGTCACCGGACGTAGAAAGCATCGAGTCTGGGGTAAAGTTTTGCCTTATTCTCCCGCTTTTTGTTTTTACTTAGTGTTTTTGTTTGTTTGTTTTCTTCTGTTTTCCTGTAGTGGCCCTCTAACATGAGCCACTGCATCAGATGTGGATTAGCAGTCAGCTGGTGTCACTGTGCATCAAAACAAGAAGAGGGCGCTGTTCTTCCAGAATAAACACAGTTACAGCGAGTGACTCCGCTTTTCTCTTCCCATCTGTTCAGAGGTTCCGGCTGCCGTCCATGGAATCCTTCGACATCCCAGACAAGATTCCGGTTGCTAAGGATACCAGACACGGCCAGTGGCTGCGTAGGAGGCGTCTGGACGGGGCGCTGAACCGAGTGCCCGTCGGCTTTTACCAGAAAGTCTGGAAGATCCTGCAGAAGGTGAGTTATGACTCGGATGCATATTTACTCATGAGTATGTTTTTTAATGTTATTCACTTCTTGGATTAATTGGTAAACATTTGCATTCTACATTTTAAACCTGTCGTATAATTATTGTTTCCTGTTGTGAGCCTTCATGTGGTTAAATTTAAAACATCTTTAATGTAAAGCGATAAGACGAGATGAACCAAAAGTTTCTGTCACACTTGGACTTGTGTGGTAGTTGTGGTGATGCTGATGTACTTCTTGCAGTGCCACGGTCTGTCCATAGAGGGCTTTGTTCTTCCATCTTCAACCACCAGAGAGGTGATGTCTGATTACACACTTCACATGAAACTAAGAGAGAAATTTTACTGCTTTAGTATTTTCTATTTTTTTTTTTTAACCTGTCTTCTTATCATTTAAATGCTACGTTGGGTATTTGGGAAAAATCTGGGATATTTGCCAAATTACATCAAATTCCTAAAAATCCTTCATTTTTTTTACTGCTACTACACTTTGCATGAAAAACCTTGACTCTATTTAATCCTGATTTTTACCGATACTGAGTAATATATTGTGTCGTTTTGTTAAGACACTAATGCTTTGATCAAACATTTGAATGATGTTGCACAATGAATCCTCTTGAAATCTGGAAACGACAGTTAAAAAAGGTGATTTTTTTTTTTTTTGCATTTACACTTTAGTTTAAAACCTTCATAAAGCTGTGAATAGAACAAAACAAACAAACTATAACTTTGAATGATAAACTTAAAACAACATAAAAAAATAGTATTAATAATAAAAATAAATGAGGAGAAGCTGCATTTAGTGCTTTGTATATTTGCATCAGGGTTATCGCTCCTGTATATTGTGACCACTTACAAAAACCAAAAATATATGTTGAAATATCTTTTCACTTGTTTAAGTTTGAATATATTTAGTTTTAGCTTATTTTTGGTTCATTTTACTTGTACATGTGAGTCTCATTGTAGTTAGCCTACTTACCTCTTCTTCTGCTTACTTCCCCCTCAAAATGTAAGTAAAACTTTCATCAGTCTGCAGTGTTGTCCGTCAGGTCAGCCACAGTCAAACAGCCAAAAGCAAAAACCTCTGTTCTGTTATTTGCTAGTAATTAAGATTGTTTCTACAATTTTATCATTTAAAGTTGTAATTTTTTGTTCGATTGATAGCTATTTAGAGGTTTTAAACTATGCATAAATGCAAGAAAATCACCTTTTTTATCTGTAAAGTTTAAAGAAACTCTCTTTACAGACATCTATTGTTCATCTACTCACCAAGATCATTAAAATTAAATTCAAAACTAAAACTAGGTGTGAAAAAACATCCTGGTTAACCAGGAATAAAAACGAAACATTTGATCCAATATTTTACAGTAATAAAAACTAAAATAAAAAACAAAGAACTGAAATTATCCAACTAACTGAAACCAAACTTAAAAACTAAACAGAAAAACCTTAAAACTAAATAATTTTACAAACTACTCATAAAATAAAAACTATAACTTTCCACCAGATGACCCCAGGGGAGATAAAGTTCTCTGTCCATGTGGAGACTGTCCTGAACAGAGTCCCTCAGCCCGAGTACCGACAGCTGCTGGTGGAGGCCATCTTGGTCCTCACCATGTTGGCTGACGTGGACATCCAGAGCATCGGCTCTATAATCCATGTGGAGAAGATCGTCCACCTGGCCAACGACATGTTCGACAAGGACCAGGTCAGCAGTCGCTCTAAACTTCCAGCGTCTGTATCCCTGCCATCAGCTAAAGCAGGTTGTTCTTCTTCCATTGTTCTGCAGAGGGACCTTGGTGCAGAGGAGCACATCCTGGAGAGGGATCCGTCCACAGGAATATGCAGGCTGCTGTATGACAGCGCCCCCAGCGGACGCTTCGGGAGCATGACCTACCTCACAAAGGCTGTGGCGGTGTACGTGCAGGACTTCCTGCCCAGCGGCTCGTGTGCCGTACAGTGAGAAGACGAGATGGTGCAACAGTTAGTTGTTTTTTTTTTTGTTTGTTTGTTTTTTGTTTTTACTACATAAACTAACGTAACAGCCTCGCTTCGTGTTGTCACCACATGTGTGTTAATGCAGATGATAGATCAAGTTTTACGTGAATATTCGTCGTCTTCAACCATTGCTCGTACCGAAGCAACAGAATGCTGCACAAACTGTAGCAGCCACGTTAGCTAGCCTCGTCTGTTCCTCTTTTCAGGGTGGTGACTTCCTGTGTTTCTTTTATTCTCAGTAATCACCAGCAGTTCCCTACTTTAAGTCTGGCAGTGCGTTCAAATGCCTCGTGTTACTCACCTGAAAAAAGCTGTGATGGAAATCCACAGATATTCACTTCTAATGGCACACGTTAGGAGGAGGAAGCGTAAATGTGAAATTTGAAATCAGCAATGTTGATTAACCCCTTGCCAGAGCTGAAGTATTTTAACTAGTATAAATTCACATCATCCACTAGTTCAAAATTTCTTGTTTCATAAGCTTTTTGTGCACCGTACTTAAACTTTCAGTGTTAAAGCAAAATAAACATTGGCCAGATATTTAAATACATTTCCTAAAATATCATAGTTATAGTTATTAGCAAATGTTACTAAAACTGTGGTAAATAATGCATCTTTTTGTTGGGAACTATTTTCAGCTGCGGATTAATGCACATTTGGTTTTCCAGAGGTAGCTCTAGTAAGCTACCCATACCTTCTGATGCACACCCAGTCATTTTGTTCTGAAGGAAATATGACAGAAACTAAGTTTAGACAAGAGAAACGAGGGTTATCCGTAGTAGTTCTCAAAGGGGGGATGAGTTAAAGCAGTTAATTTCCATCCCCTGCTCATTTTTTTCATCTATTTATGGGGAAAATGAGCCAAATATACTAATTCACTCTGTGGAAATGAAGGTAAATGTATCCCAGCTATAATCAACATGGCCAGAAAATACAGTTTTCCCTTCTTTTTTTCTTGCGCTCATCACTACCTTAAACATTTTCACCTCCAAACACTGTTACCTGCGTAACTTAAACATGAAGTTCGTAAATTTCAAATCAATCTTCTAACGTTTCCTAATTTATTACCTCACCTGGTCGCTCAACCTCTAAGACTCACCCGTCTTCGTATACCTCCAGTCCTGTGTGCTTGTACGGTGTATTACAAATGGAAAGCAAACAAAAAAGTAGTATTTATTTTTTTTAGGTCTAAACCGTTAATTGAAGTCGGCTCCTGTAGGTAAGTGTCTTAAAGAGGCCATGATGCCTTAACATGGTTGTATTTTGAGTCTAGAAGTTTGTGTGACTGAAACTTCAGGAGTGCTGTTTTATTTAAAGCTATAAATGAACTGAATTAATTTCTCAGAACGTTTTCTTCAGCGTGTAGTGTATTAATGCGTTTCTTTGCCTTAATCTTCTCATCTGATTGCTGAAACTGTAATTTTGTTTCTGTTTTTAGATTAATTGCAGTTAAACTTGAACACATTTTGTCTGTTGGTTCTTCGATGGTTCATTGTTTACGATATTGACGGCAAATTTGGAATAAATTATTAAGGTTATTGAAGAACATGCCTGATCGTGCCTCCTGTTTAAATGTCCAGTAATCAGCTGACGTCAGTCCTTTTGGGGCGTTCCAGCACACTCCACGTGAACTACAGCCGATCGTATCAGAACAAGTATCGATGAGCAAGCCGGTGGTTGACTGTTTTTTGTTTTTGAAACTAATTCTGTAATAAAATGATCAAAATCAGTTATGAGTGTTTTTAATCAGTCATGTTACTGAGTAGGTCTTTTTAAACTTTTCAAAGTGCTCTCTCCATCTTACAGTTGCCTGAACTTTCAGGCCTGTTACATGTGCTTTGTTGGTTTAACTTCATATATATGAATATGCTGCTCAAACCAAAAAATAAAGGAACAGGGAAGCAGTAAGGAAGTGTTGAAATTGAAAGGATGCCAAGAAGTTTAGTGGCAATTAAATAACCAAACTGTGAGGGCTGAATTCAAAAACACCTCAAAAAATCAAAGTGTATAAATAATGAGGCAGGCTTAGTCCATTCTTATTAAATGTAATTAGGGGTACTCAGTAGCTTGTATGGTCAACATGCCTATTTGCACGCCTGACATTGTCAGGGAATGCTCCTGAGATGACAGCTGGTGTCATGGGGGATTCTCCCAGATCTGGACCAGGACATCACCGAGCTCCTGGACAGTCTGAGGTGCAACCTGGCACCGTCGGATGGACTAAAACGTAATGTACTCAGTGGCAGATCGAACTCCACGGTGACCGGCAGTGAGGTCAGGGCCGGCAAGAGGACACGGAGCCCTCAGACCACCCTCATGAACTCGTGTTTCTGACCAAACAATCAAAAACATTCACACGCGTGTCCTGCTGGAGGTCATTTTGTAGCTCTGGCAGTACTTACCCTGTTCCTCCTTGCACAATGGAGCAGATACCGGTCCTGCTGATGGGTTAAGTACTTTCTTTGTCATTGTCCAGCTCTCCTAGAGTACCTGTCTGTCTCCTGGAATCTCCTCCATGCTCCTCAGAGTTTGCTTGGAGACACTGGCAAAGGCATGTGTTGATGTGCCATTGTCAAGGAGTTGGACTATCTGTGCACCCACTGTAGGGTCCATATATCGCCTCATGCTACCAGTAGTGACACTGACCCTAGCCAAATGCAGAACTGCTTGTGGTGGTGTGGAATATTTATGGCTCCTTAGCATCTTTTCAACACCATAGCCCAAGTATTGTTGCTGACCATGTCCATGACCACCTCCTGATAGATGCTTCCAGCAGGATAACACAGTGTCACAAAACTCAGATAATCTCAAACTAGTTTCAAGTTCTGTACTCAAATGGCCTCCACAGTTACCGGGCACATTTGGGATGTGGTGAGACCAAAGATTCACATCGTGGATGTCCAGCCAGTATCTGTGCGATACTGTCCTTTCAATATGGACCAAAATCTCTGAGGAGTTTCAGTACCTTTAATGAATCGGTGTCACCAAGAATTAAATGGTAAATGGCCTGTATTTATATAGCGCTTTACTAGTCCCTAAGGACCCCAAAGCGCTTTACATATCCTGTCATCCACCCATTCACACACACAGTCACACACTGGTGATGGCAAGCTACATTGTAGCCACAGCCACCCTGGGGCGCACTGACAGAGCCTACTGACCACCACCAGTAGGCAACGGGTGAAGTGTCTTGCCCAAGGACACAACGACCGAGACTGTCCAAGCCGGGGCTCGAACCGGCAACCTTCAGATTACAAGGCGAACTCCCAACGCTTGAGCCACAGTCGCCCCAATTAAAGCAAAAAGGGGCAGCCAACCAAAAACTAATAAGGTATACCAAAAAAGGTATCAGGTGAGTGAATGTAGTGAATTAGAAACCACAGACATAACCATAACATCACTGATGTAATTTCTTCAAATTCTGCTGAAAGGTTTAGTTAATTTGAGAAGAGTCCTAAATGGTTTAAGCACAGGATCTTGTTTTGTTTTTTTACCTAAAATAAAACTGCCTCAAAAGAGAAAATATTCAATCAGATAAATTAGGTATGTTAAGTGCTGCTGAACTTAAAAAAAACCAAAACATGGTGTTTACAGTTCAAAGTGTGGCTGGTTACATGTATGTGGAAAGCAAACGGACAAGGATAAACAGGGACTGCACTCGGCCGGCCTGAACATTTTCTCTAGACTCCATCTTAGTCATCTGTTCAGCTTGCTCGCTGAATTATGTGATTAATTAAACACAGCGAAACCAGATGTGATTTGAAAAAACTTGATGCCAATACTTGGTGATAAATTCTCTTGTTCTTCATTGTTTGCCAAAAACATGAATACATTTCAGCTGTAAGTGTTACACTCATGTGCCAGCAATCTGTTTGATGGAGTCTGTTTCTAAAACAACTCAGATGTCGTATTCTGGCAGTATTGCTTCCTATCAACAAACATACCCAATTATAGGATTTAATCACACAAATTTACTCCAGTGAGCACAATTTTATGGCTCATACTGCCCTCTATATGGCCAACACTCCAACACTGCACCAATGAACATCAGTCATGGACAAAGATGGACAAAGTCAACGCTGGGTTTCCACTCTCCACACTTTTTTTGTAAGCGTCTTGGTTGCTGACCCTGAGTAGACCTCTGCCTGGTTGATTTATTCACTTATTTCACGACGTTCTCAAAGCATGAAGTCCATTTTGTAAATTTTGGTTGATTTTAGAGTCTAATAGGAGGATTATCCAGGGTAAAAACTTGTGATTGACAAATTGCTTTTCTTCAGTTTCAGACTTCCCAACCCAGTGGATGATGCCACGGTACCTACATCCATCTTTTATACAGTCCTGTAACAAAAGCTGAATATGCCGCTTTATTAAGTAGCTTGTAGAACCACTTTTTGGCATTGCCATCGTTTTCTGCATGACTTCTTCAGTCTCTCACCTTTGGAGAAGTTTTGTCTCACTCTTCTTTACAGCATTGTTTCTGCACATTGAGGTGTGTGGACATTTGTTAATGCACAGGTTGGTGTCTGGACTTTGCACTGGACATTGCACCACTGTCTTTTCTTTTTCAGCCATCCTGTTGTAGATTTGCTTGGGACGTTGTCAGACAGATGGCCTCACATTTGACTCTAGAATACTTTGGTATCATGGTTCTTATATGGTGCTTTTCTACTCTGAGCAGTCAAGGCGGTTTACACAGATTTCACCCATTTATATTCCAGTGGATGAATCGGAGAGTAACTTGGGGTTAGTATCTTGCCCAAGGATATTTGGCTTGCAGACGGGAGCAGAGAAGGATCAAACCACCAACCTTCAGATTAGTAGGCGACCTGTTCCACCACCTGAGCTACAGCCATCATCATTCAAATGACATTGTTTCAGAAGTCTTCTGATTTGTTCAGATGCGGTTTTGTAAACTTGAACCTTGCTGCCTTGTTTAGAGAGAAGAGGCTTTCTCCTCGCAACCCTTCTACACAAATCATACTTGTTCAATCTTTTTCTAACAATACTGTCATGAACTTTAACTTTTAACTAACTGAAGCCTGTAGAGTCCGAGATGTTGCACAGTTTGTGAAATTGCATCATGGTGTTAAAACACACTTGAATGTTCCAGGCGAGGAAACTTCCAGAAGTTCTGATTTTTATAGCGGTGCTCAGACTTTCTGACAAATGCTTAATCAAGTGTATTATCACCACTTAGTTGCTCCTTCCCTTCTTAACTCCTATCGAAACAGTAAAGGTCAAACAAAATGTCTGAAAAGGTAAGGCAATCCTTGTTAAAGGACTTGGATCCAGTACCTGTACTTGCACTTTTTACACAGACAAATAAGAGTTTGGATTACCATCTATTCTGTTTTCTTGTCAGTGAATTCAGCAGGAATGTGCAGACAAACATGCAAACAGACATTTCTGATGACTCTGCAGATTTTCTTAAGATGTGGAAAACTCCTTCAGGAGGCGTCATTCCTCTTAAATGAACACGACTTATCTCCTACACCCACTCACACGCTTGGCTGGCTTCTCTCGTTGTGAAAGACTGAATATCTGTGCACCAGCAGCTGTTTGACTTTTGAACGCTGGCAGCAGATTCATTTGTTTACCTTGGATTCAAATGTCAGCTTTGTCCACATTATGTCCCAGGTGAAAGGTATATGAGAAGACACGAAGCAACGGCGTACAAAAGTCCACGTTTGAGTCACTGATTCTTTTGTCCGATGCTTTTATTTCACTTCATCTCCGGCCCTTCAGATGCAAGTAAAACAGTACAGTAAGCAATACACAGTACAAAGATAATTTGGGTTTAAAAGTGCAACCTGAGTGTACAAAAGATCAGCAAGCACCTGCTGTGTGCATGAAGTAAACTGCAGGTGAGTTGAAGCTAAAGCTGCAACCGCCTCTTAAATTTCAGGATTTCATAGATGTGCAAATAAAAAACAAGGCTGTGCAGCTCATAGTGAGGAATCTGTTCCCAGTATTTGTACACTCAGCCCATCAGGTAGCTCGACTTTGAGACTTTGCAGATTTAAGATTGTTTGAGCATGTAGATGTCATAACGTTCCTGCTTTAAATCTTTTTTTTAAAAACAGCAAAACAAAACAAAAAAACCCAAACAGTTATGTGACAAAACAAAAAAGTGAAATATGCTAAACTGAGTTTAAAATAGTAAATGAAAATGGGCACATTTTGACATTTAAAAAAAAGATAAAATAAATAAAATACCAGAATCAGCATTACAGATACTGTTAGTTAATCCAACTGTGTTTGAACCTTTTGTCAAGAACCTGAGTGTACTTTAAATAACTTTTATCTTAGATCCATAACAACATTGCTCCACCTCTTGCCTAATAATTCTGCACTCCCTGTAGAGTTAGAGTTAGTGATGTGCGATACCACTGATTTTCTTTCCGATCCGATACCAAGTAATATTCAGGGTGGTATCGACGACACTGATCCGATAGCGATACTTTGCAGGAAAAAACAAAACAAAAACAAAAACATTGCTCCACCTCTTCTCAGTTTTTATACCATCACCTTTTATGTCATTTCCGCAACTTCATTCATATTCATATTCATTCATATTTTTAAGATTTCCAAAACTTTGCTTTATGTAAAATGCCCAACAGTAAGAAGTGATCAAAGGTCAGCTCCATGTCATTTGTTCTCTATTGGTTTATCCTTCATTTACATTTTACCTTTTAATTTAACCTTGGACTAAACTAGGCTGGTCCAATTATTAAGGGGACAGAAATTATGACTGCGAGTGTTAAAAGAAAGTAAGGGTGAGGAGTTTGTAGAAGGCATTGCTGCACAGCTAGTTGTTACATTTACTTCTGATAAAGTCGTATCATTAAAAATCTGAGTTTATCACACCCTAGAAAACACGACCAATTACATCTCAGTCATAAAAATGTGGAGACTACGCATCTGCTCAGTTACAGAATTACAAATGTCCTTTAAAAATGTTTCACTGTTTTATGATATTTCTGAAGGAACGGGTTTTAAATGAAACGCTGTTATCGAGCGCCGTTATATCAGCTGTGGGATAAGTTCAAAGCCAGGGTAACTAGTAGGACGCAGAGATAATAACAAAAAAAAAGCTCAATAGTTGCAGAAATACAACTTTCTGTGTGGTTAAACTGTCATCAAATGCTTAAGGTTTGAAAGGCCTGACAATTCCCAATTTGAAATGCGTCAGGTGGGGCAGTAACTGCCTGACAGGTGCATTTAAAAAATTGTTTAGATATAATTTTACTGGAAAATAAATACAAATTCTGATTTAAAATGAAGAAGTAAAAGAAGAAGAAGAAGCCTGGGTAAGCTGATCTCCCAGTTATCAGAACCCGTCAGGATGAACATGCTGGTTGTGTCCTCGGACGTCTAATAGTTCACCGGCTGCGATGCCGAACGGTTCATCGTGGAGCAGTGTCCTGCCCTAAAACAGAACACAAGCAGATGTTAACGAAGTATGAAAGCTTATTTCTGCCAAAATTTCCAATCAGGTGTATTTAAGTGTTCATGTTATTAAAAATAACATTTTGAAATTTTGAGGGAAAAAATACAAACATATTGAGTGGCAGATACAAGCTGCCATAGAAAAGATCTGTTTCATTTTGCAGGATTTACCAGCCCAGTGGATTTTCTGAACTTAACAAAAATCTCCACATTTCCTTTTTTCTTTCTACATTAACATTTGAGTTTCTTCTGTTGCACAGCCTGGTTATTTTGCATTTTTGCCAGCACAGTTACCTGCAGAGGCCTGTGGAGCATTCATAGTTGTTTTGGCAGTATGCTCCGAAGGGTTTACTGTTCATGATCCTCCACAGTGGGGTCATCCGGGCTATCCTCCTCGGAGCGTGGACGACATCTGACCCCCTTAGATCTGCACTCTGGAGGAAGCTGGACTGATCCTGTGAAACCAAAGGACCTGCACACACCTGGAATACAGATGGGACAGAAAGGTATACACATGCTGATGTAGTCCAGTGTATTCTGACTCAAAGCACTGGGAAGATATAAGCTTCATCAACTATTTAGTGACTCAGTGACTTCATATGAACACTGAAGACATTGGTGTTGGTGACCGTGGGGAGGAAAAACTCTTTTTTTTTCTGACAGGAAGTCAAATAAGGCAGAAGCAAGAGAAAGAGAGGATCAAACACAACCAGCAGGAGAGAAAACCCTTTCAGTTACACTTTAGTTCTTAACTATGGACACTCCACAGAGGAAAATATGAGTTTATGCCTGATGTGAAAAGTGGGAAAATTCAAAGCAGGCTTTCACAAAAAGGGTTTAGATCCAAAACTAATGGAAGTGAAAGATGCTGCTGGTAGACTTATAAGAGATGAATACATTAGAGGGTTATTAATGTAACCATAGTCTAACAAACTTATCACTCTATCCTTAAAGAAAGGCAAATTGGACTTTAAGCTGATTTGTTTTTCCTCACTTGGAAAAACAATTGAATAGAAACAAAAGTTACATGTTCTAATTGCCCAGGATTACAATTATAGTCATAATCAGGTTATGGGTGTTTCCTGATGACAGGGCAGAATGAACATGATAAATTTAACACCACATCTGTGGTTATTACTAAATTTACTCCACTCACCTGTTGAGCCACCATTAACAGGACAATGCACAGTGCTGCTGCTGCTTTCTTTTGGGTGAAGAAGCCTGTCTTCTGCATCTTTCCAGTGGACCGGGGTGTTTGCTGGTAAGTCTACGGAGATTCTTTGCTTTTATCGTCCTTTCTTTCTCTTTGGCTACGTTGCTCAGCCTCAACCTGGAGGCTTCCCTGATTTCCAAGACTTTGTGGAGGTCTCAAGCACCCCTGCCAACTTCCAGAAGTGAGAAGAAGTGAATCTGGAACCTATAAGTCTTTTCAAGTGAGCCTGACTTAGGGGATTTCAGGAGGGCTCGTCTCTCTGTTATATAGTCAGGGCCTGATCCCTGGAGAGGGAGAGCAGTGAGGGCGGGAGAGGGAGTCACAGTCCATGCAGCGTCCACCCCATTTGCTTCATCTCACCCTCTTTGCCTCTCTTATCCAGTCTAAATGTCACATGATGCATCCAGTATGTTCAGAGAAAGTCCTTTCTTATTACAAAGACAAACACATTTTTTTTCCTTCTGTGTCTAATGTGAGCACAGAGGCGCCATACACGGCCCACGTGACGGTAACACAAGGACAGCTGGGTCAAACTCGTTTGAGAGAGGTTGCTAAATTTATGTGTTTCTATTTCAATGCATGTGAATGAACTTTGAGGATGATAAGGTTTTTATCAATCTGTGTTCTGCAATACATATTTGAATACCAGGGACACTGACATCATGCACTTATATAATGTAGCTGGTGCAAATTTATGAGGGTAGGGTTTACATAAGCAAACATAAGCAGGGATGTGGTATGTGTGACAAATGTGTGCAGATGTTCTCAGTCACTCCAAACCGACTAAGATTAAAATAACACCAAAATTAAAATTTCATTTTCTTAAAACTACAAAAAGAGAACATTTTATTCATCATTATATGACAAAAGATCAGACTTAAAGACAAAATGTAAACGGTCTCGCTGTTTATCTTTTATAGGTTTAAGCTCAGAATAAAGAACAGCTATCTAAAAAAAAAACATCACCTGGTTTATCCATCTTTCTGGCTGTAAAAATGATAGAAGCTTTCAAAAGATTCATTTATTCAGTTCAGTTCAATTCAATTCAATTTTATTTATATAGCGCCAAATCATAACAACATTCGCCTCAAGGCGCTTTATATTGTAAGGTAACAATAAACATACAGAGAAAAAAAACCCCAACAATCATATGACCCCCTATGAGCAAGCAATTTGGCGACAGTGGGAAGGAAAACTACCTTTAAACAGAAAAAAACCTCCGGCAGAACCAGGCTCTGGGAGGGGCGGCCATCTGCTGCGACCGGTTGGGGTGAGAGAAGGAAGACAGGATTAAGGACTACTCAAGTGGATGTGCATGATTCTCACACAGTTCTTCTGTCTAAAACAAGATGTTTTAGCGCCTCTCCTCTCTCTAAACAAACCTTCCCCTGAGTGGCTGAAGACAGAAGGTTTATCCACCAGGTGGGTGGGGCTTCTGTGCTATACACCTAAGCTAACTGTATTAGGAACGTACGCTCTCACTGACATAATAAAATCCAATTTAAAAAAAAAAATTAAAAAGACTAAAACTGAGCATTTAGAGGAGTCTGAGCTTCTGGCTCACAGAGATAAAAAGTAAATAAATGCCTGATAAGTAAATGTGGGAAAGTTCAGCAGTGCCAAAGCTTATCACTTATCAGTCTCATAAAAAAAAATCAGAAGAAGGTTTAAATAGAGTTAAAATAAATTTTATCAGAAGTGTTTTAAACTTAATTGTTTAATGATAAATATCTGAAATTTAAATTGAAAGTATAAATGGGACGTTCTGTTCCTCTTAGTATTTTTTTTACATGTTTTACTTTCATTTTTGTCTCTTTGCTTACCATGTAGACAGCTTTACAGCATGTGCTTATGCTTTTATAACCATGTGTGACATGGCATGTGGAGGCGCTGCAGATGAACTCCATCGTACTGAACTACATGTTGAAAATGACACTACAGTTTGATCTAGTGTGTTACAATGTGGAGTCCAAACCAAGTGTCAGTATATGATCAGTGGATGTAAAAAAAAATATATTTTTTTAAATAAATAAATAAATAAAAAAGTAAGTTTTGGTGTTTTCCACCTTCTAAAGTGCAGCCAGTGAAGTTAATCTTAGTCTGTAGTTTGTATTTTCACTGAATTAGTGTTAACACAGGTACAAAGTAACAGGAGCGTCTCTACCTGTGTGTCGAAAGCAACCCTTGGACTACTTATCTTATGGGATATACTGCAACAACACAGAAGTAAGAGACGTACGTCTGCCAAGGCTGAAAATCCCTCCATAAACAATGAGAAAATATCACACAATTGTAAAGAGTCCATCTAACATCTAATTCCTTGATCTACATCTGGATGTGGATTCAAATAATCACTGGTAAACTGCACTAAGCCTGACCTTTGGAAACATTTTCATGTAAATCAATCCTGAGTATGTTTCACAGCAGAAACAGGATTAAAATACTTGGAAATGAAACAAAAAGAGAACAAGTGGAGGTGGATTTCATAAAGAGGATCTGAGGTTGGATGTAGTGGAAAGTTACTGTGCAGATTCCTGTAATGTTGTTCACCATTAAGCCCACAAGACTGACAGGAATCAGCGCGACATAAACTCAGAACATCTGCGTCGTGATTTATCGCCAAGCGTGACTTATCGTGTTGACAGCAGAGAAACTTCAGGGACAGATGACGCTGTTGGGGGCTTTGGAGGAGAACAGCAAAGACTGTTATTCCACGCCGGCTCTGTGTCGGCTGTGCTGCGCTGATGCAGGACCAGTGCCAAGAGTTGGTTATCTGCAACTGGTTTAAATATTTAAAGGAACAAGTTAAAGAGACATGCATATTTCTCCTCCTAAGCATGGCAGATAAAAACTGTATTTAAAGTCGTGTCCTTTGTCTTCTGATTATATTACAGCTATTAATAATACATCACTAAACTGTTTCCAGCTGCATTACACTTTGCAAATATGTATACATGCTACCAGGGGGATTTTTACATTTTTACTTGACAAGAATTTCCTCTACATGTATATACGGTAGTTCAAATATATTAATATTACGTTCCTGATCCTCATAGTGTAACTCTGTTGCGCACTACAAGCCAGTCATAACTCTATAAGGGAATGAGGATGTGCCGAAGGTTAAAGGTATTTTTCAGTCTAGATAAATTATTTGAATTGAATTTGAATTGTAAAGACAAAAAAAAAAAGAAAAAAGAATACAGACACTCTGGCAACCCGTCGAGAGTTTACCCCACCTCTCTCTGCAAAACAGCCGGCTCTAGTCCCTCTACAACTCTGGATTGGACAAAATGCATGGACTGAATGGGTTAAAACACTGTTGCTTGCTTACAGGCAGCCTACACGAGAAGACTTCTGTGCCTTTAAATGAACTGGAAAAACCGAGAAAAGCTGTCAAGCTTTGCTTGTTTTCCTTTAAAGACATGTCTCCAGCTGTACTTTGACATTCCTGCTCTATGGTAGGATCAGTTCTTCTGAATCAATCATTAGAACTTACCTGCAATTTTGAATGATCCAACTCCACCTCAGAGTACACCTGTATGTGTACTCTGGAGCATAAAGTAATTTAAGATGTTTGTTGCACAACAATCTCACCCTCAAAAACTCATTAAAAGCTCAAAATTACCATGACATCCATGTCTACGAATGGAAACTTCTAATCAAAGCTAAACATCGATTTCTTTTCTGACTGTGATAGTTTCCTTTTTTATTGTGTCCTGTGCTCGTGTGAAACAGTTTCCATCTTTACCGTCACTGAAAAACCCTGAAACACCCTCTTTAAGCTACACAAGAAGAGAAGCTATAATCGGCTTTTGTTGGCAGGTCAGGTCCTTCCTGATCAGCAGCGTCAACAATACAATGAGTGCTGTAACTGATGTGTTTGTTTGGCTTTTTTGTCTCATGTTCATTGCCAAAAAAAGTTTCCACATCACAAAGGGAAAGCAAATCCAGTGAACTTTAATCATCATGCCAGGGTCTCTCTGTGGGAGGCTGCAGCGTGGCCTGTGCTGCAGACTGAAGCAGCATTGGCTGGCTTCAGCCTTCATGGTGTGACTGTGCCAGTTTTTCTTCCAGCACAGGCAGGCCACTGTCATCAGCTCTGGAAAAAAAAAAAGCCTGACTAGGCAATGATACTTGAACTCTCAACTTGAATTCTACTGGACGGCCTGATCGAAGGGTTGCAGACATGACCTCATCTGACCAGCATTCAGTCCTCGTGTGGACTGTGCAGGCTGGTGTTCACAGAAATGGGTTACCCAGAAGGTAATATAAATGTGGGAAGGCCTTGAGTGGAAGTCAATAAATGCTTGATAAGTAAATATGGTGAAGGTTCAGCAGTGGCAGCGCTTATCACTTATCTCTCTCTTTAAAAGTAATCAGAAGCAGAATGAGCCAGAGTTATGATAATTTAGAAAAAAATCAGGCTCTTTCTTAAGCCTACCTGCCACATCGACAACTCATATATATATACATATTTAAATATAGTTTTTACAATTCTTGCCCAAGTGGAGTATTAAACCTTTACTTAATTTAAAAAAGCCTGTTTTCTGAATTCATAAGTTTATATTACAAAAATATAAAGTAGTTTAAGAACTGCTCATCAGTAAAACTCACAGTTGCCACACAAAAGCTCCTCAAGGGGGAACTCTTAGTATCATTCCCAGCTCCATACTTTCATTCTAGACTCTAATAGAGGATCTTTGCATGATTCACAGTTTTAACTCGTTAGGTTCTCAATGGCTTTGATGGAGCCTCTAAGTTTGCGCTTATCTCCCTTTAACACCACTCTCTGTTCAAGCCAACTGTCTTCTAATTGGCTCCCTGGATTTCTCCTCTGCATGACTTTATACTGATGCAATCAGCAACTAGAAAAACAGACTAACCTAAGTTGCTAACAGAACAATAATTGTCAATTGTTAATAATTGAACAATAACTTTTTCATCCATTGGGTTTGACTTAGTTCAGATTAATGTTTCTACCTGTCAAATAGACAAACATCTTTATCCATAAGTTTGACATTTTTAAAGGTGAACCCAAATGCTAAACACTGAATGCAGATTTATTGAATTATTTGTTTTTAATTCAGTGCAGTCCCACATTATTACGTTCAACGATATCAGAACAAGATCTGAGATCAGAAGGTGGACAGTACTCTTATACACACACACACAATCGCAACTGTAACTAGTCCACATAAAATTATATGTGTATATGTCATATAC